TATCAACGATTTCATGCTCATTTATGCGGAAAAATCACATATTTTCATAGGGGGGTCAGCAAATCACAGATCACATATCCCTGTAAACTAACCCATTCCTTCACCACTAAGTAATTTCACTTTAATATCATAATAATTAATTTTAAACTCTCGATTTCTAAATATTTGTATACAAATATATGTAATAGATTATGTGTATACATGTTTTATACAAAAACGATTACACATTAATGTCTATTAACAAACGCGGTAGTGTGACTGAAAAATCAAAAAAGAATTTGATAAAATATTATTTCTAACGTATAAATATTTTCTCTAAAATTAAAAAAAAAAACTCAATTCTTATGAAATAGTATAATATTATACATATTTATTTATTTACTTTAATATCATAATAACGATCACCTTATGATGAGTTTCATCATCACCTCCTCTTCTATGTAGGGGTAAACTGCTGATTAACTGTTTTAATTATTCAAGTAAGAGGGCTCTCTATGACCAAAGGCCTACACATCCACATAGCTATAGTTGGGTTTCGTTTGATTAATAGCCGCTGTCGCCGCTTGATTACTCCTTTCACTTTTCTGCATTCAAATATTTTCAAATAATTCTAAAATTATGTAATTTTTAAAATAGCTCCAATTTTCTATAATATATCAAGATATACTATATGATGTTCCATCTACTTCGGTATACTATGAATATACCAGGGTATACAATACATGATAACTGTACAAGTCCGCATTTGTCCGAAAAAGTAGTAGATGAGCATAAATAACACTTAAATCGTATACCGTCATGTATTTTCCTATGCAGCAGTTAAAAACAGTTTTTTGACAACGTACACTTTTTCACACTTGTCACAAGAAAACATTTTTTAAAACGTTTAAGTGATACAACACTATTAATTTTACTCAAGTAATAATCAGTCTTTTATGTGAAAATACTCATTTATGCGGAAAAATCACATATTTTCATCGAGGGTCGGCAAATTACAGATCACATATCTCTGTAAACCTTTTCGTTCACCACTTAAGTGATTTCACTTTAATATCATAATAATTAAATTTAAAGTCACGATTTCTAAATATTTTTATACAAATATATGTAATAGAGTATGTGTATACTCAATATGTATACATATGTTTTATCCAATAACGTTTACACATTAACAAAAAATATATCTATTAACAAACGCAATAATGTAACTTAATATCATAATAATTAATTTAAACTATCGATTTTTAAATATTTTCTCTTTAATTACAAAATAACTGAATTCTTATGAAATATTGCACATATTTATTTATTTACTTTAATATTATAATAATGATCATCTTATGATGAGTTTTATCATCGCCTCCCCTTCTATGTAGGGGTAAATAGTTGGTCTGCTGTTTTAATACATACTTGAGTCAAGGAAGGGAGACCCTCTATGAACAATACACGTCATAGTTGAGTTTTGTTGGGTTAATAAGCCGCCGCCACTCGATTGCACCTTTCACTTTTCTGTATTCAAATATTTTCATATAATTCTAAAATTATGTAATTTTTAAAATTCTGTAATATATCAAGATATACTATATGATGTTCCATCTACCTAGGTATACTATGCATATACCAAGGTAACTTGTACCATGGTATAACGAAATGCTATCTAGGAACGAGAAACATCGACCTTTCACCATATCCCCCCGGCCGTTTACACCGCCCGTCCACCTAGGACAGGGTAAACCTACATCATGTGGGTGGGTGATGGGACTATGCCTTTCACCATATTCCCCTCCCGGTTGTTTACACCGCCCGTCCACCTAGGATAGGGTAAACCCACATCATGTGGGTGGGGGGACTATGCCTTTCACCATATCCCAACAGCCGTTTACACCACCCGTCTACCTATGGCAGGGTAAACCCTCAACATGTGGGTTAGGGGGGTATCCAGCTCATACTTTATAGATCTACTTATACATATTTTCTATTTATTACGTTTTTTGGCTATTTTTTATAGTTTTGTAATTGTACAATATTACCGTCAATAAGATTAATGATACTACCCACAGTTTGCTCTAAAGCTGCGATGATTGTAATCAAACTGAAATAATGTGTTTTGACTTGGACGTTTTGACTTATCCAAAGTTATATATTTATTATTTACAGTATCCGGTACGTTAAATTGCATCATAAAAGATGTTACTTAAAATGTAAAAGTAGGATTTAGGAGAAATGAAAAATAAATTGTAACATTTCAATAAAGATAAAAAATGTATAAAATATGTAAGTACCTACATCTATATAACATGTAATTTTTACGATCTTAGTTTTTGTAAAGTGTAACTACTGCTACATATCTTCACGTATTTGCTTTTATATTTTAAAGGCAAATGTATCGGTCTTCATGATACTTAAATTTGATCCTGATCATAAATTGTTAATAGGTGCCATAATACAGTCCAATAAAACTTGTATTTTTACAGCTAATCGATATAAGGTATTTAAATTGAATGGTAAAATGTTTTTTTATGTGTTTATGCATGTAGACAGTAAAGAAAATTTCGATATTTTTTCGACAAATATAATAAAAATCATACTATAATTTTACTATTATATAAAATTTATATTTGTGTAGACAATTAAATGTAAAGAACAAAAAAATTTAGTACAAAAAGTTTTTTAATAAATGTAAGGCATGATTATCATTGATCATTGTTAAATTTTAGTGTTCAACTAAAAATATTTTGTATAGATAATTGAAAATAAAATAGAGCAAAGCGAAAAAGAAACTTTTTCGTATAGTATCGTATAATGCAAACATTTTTATGTAATGATATTAACTCTTTTTTCTCCTCGCCTTAATTCCAACTATATGAAGCCGGTTAAGTAGTTATGATATTAATTAAATAAATAAATTTGTTCAAAAATAAAATACATTCTACCTTTTTAATGAAACAATATCAAAATATTATATGCTATGAAAATGATTGTTACTTTATTTAAAAAGGTGTCCGTTACCATGCAATCAAATAACAACGTTATATACGACGTTGTATGTCATAAATAAAATTAATTATTTATTTAAAAATAATATCATAAGTTATTTTAATAAAAATATAACTATAAATTGTTTTATATTTTTTATAGAAGCGTTTTTATTAAAACGAAATCTAAAGAAAACATTGATTTATACTAAAATCATATTTTGTTATCATTTAATTTAAAGTAAGTAATTACTTTTAACTTAAATATATAATTATTACTTCAACCATAAGCGCAAGGAGTTAGGAGGGGGAGTATTAGCATCTAAATATTTAAAAAAGTCTAAATATGTTTTTTTGGTCTAAGTATAATATTTCTTTTTTTTTTATAAAACAATATATAATACTGTGTATTGTTTCAAATCACTCTAAGGCACACCAACAATTTGAAGTTTTCAACATAGATATACTTCAATCATATCAATTAAAACGTATATTGAATACAGAGTGATCGATTTATCATAAACCACTTGATTAATAGCAAAATAAAAATAATATTAGAAATATAATTTTTTATTTCTTTTAGTTACATATAATTCTTGATTTATCAGCTAATTAATCACTTTTTAGGAGTATATTTTATAACTTACAGTGGTGTCAACTTTATTTTTTTAAATGGTAACATATGTATTGAAATAACTTATAAAATAGTGTTTTAAGAAAATGACTGGTCGATAACAATTTTTGGACCAGTATTTCAGAAGTTATTAATAATTTAAAGTATTCACTGGAGGTGAGGAGTGGGTGTTGCTTTTTTTTTATCACTGATCACATTTCCTGGCCGTAATCTTCATCCCGACTTGGTATAAAATGAGAATAATAACCAAAATACTGATCCAAAAGTTATTTTTCGGCCAGTCATTTTCTTAAAACACCATTTTATAAGTTAATTAAATTAAAGTTAATTTTCTTAATTAGATCATTTTTTATTTTATAAGTTGATTAAATATGTATGTTACCATTAAAAAAAATAAATTTGGCACCTTTTAAGCTAAAAGGGATGACCCTGAAAAGTAATTATTAGATGATAAATCGAGAATTATACGTAACCAAAAGAAATAAAAAATTATTTTTCTAATATTATTTTTATTTTGCAAATAATCAAGTGGTTTCTGATACACCGATTATTCTTTATATTATAATAAATAGGTTTACATACTTTACAATTATTCATTGTAAAATAGCCTAAAAGGTTGATATTTATTTATTTTTTTATCAAATAATAGTTGTTCTATACCTTGCAGAGTCATTGTGCTTAAAAAATTAAAATTCTTAAGCTATTCAATAAAATCAAACGTAAAAATATGATATTCGATACGTACACTGTGAGTATATTTTTTGAAAGGCCTTTTAGGCATCACGGGCGAATACATTTGTTATTGTGACGATGTTATTACTTTGAAACTACCATGTGCAGCTACTTGTTTTTCATAAACTTAAAATATAAATAGTATTGTGTAGCACCGAAAAATAAAATTAATAGTAGTAATTTAAGTTACACAAACAAATATATGTCATCTTAATGTATCCTGTAATTATATAATACAATTAACTAAATCTATTTTTTTTATAAATGACATATGTATTTATCCAAGTTTTTCCAATTAGAAGAGTAATCTATTTTCATATGACCTAATGTGTTGTAACAGATTTGACCATTAGGGACATTGATGGCAGAAGTAAATTCACTACTATTTGTCTCGTCAAGTCGGTCTATTGATTCCACGTCACTAAAATCAAAATATAGTTTAAATTATTAAATTTATTTTAGTGGTTTTATATATAAATATATATTAAAATTTGTCAATTTTTACTCAGTATGATTTTTTTATTATTGATATAAATACTCGGAAAAAAAATATAGTTAAGACATTTTTTTTGTGGTTTCTTTTAGTTAAATGTTTTTTGAATAATATTTAAGTATTTTTAATACATTATACGGGTGTCAAATTAAATTTTTCATAAGGCTAATGTATAAGAGATGAACGTGAAATACACTTATATACTGATATAGATAATTCAGTTTTAAAATTGATTAAAAATAAATATGGTATTTTTTTAATCATAACAAATGTAGTTAATAAAGTGACAAGAGACACAAAAAAAACACAATATGGTAAAATTAATACCTTCTCAGCTTCGCATCGAAGCAAAAATAATTTTGTATTAGTGTTTTAAATTTTTTCGATAGTAAAATAAAGTATAAATTAGAAGTTAGTGTACACGGATTCAACCTATCCAATATTACCAACGTAGAAGTCATAATTGAAGACATTAATTAAGATATAATAATAATTAAGGTGTTCCCTTTATAGAATTTTTATTTTATTTTTTCAGACTATCCAAAACTTTCTGTAGGTCAGTCTCCTGTTTTTAGCTACGATATCAATTCTGTGCGATTATTAATTAATCATTCAGAATATTTTGAGGAGAAAAGGTTACACATTAACTTAATTAAACTTTTGTCTCTTTTCTTTTTTCGGTTTTACTCATTTATTTATTTTATTTTATTATTTTGGTGTTTTGCGACGCGTCTTGGAACCAATTAAGCGTTGTTCGATTAAGTGTGTTAAATACATTGCGATAAACTTTATAGTCATAAGATTATTTTTTTCTATATTCACAGTGCGTCGTGAATATTCTTTAATTATTGAATCGTTGGTCATATTACTTATTATACTTATCTTTTTATTATTATTGTGCTTACACTTCAGTATGTTATTTGAATTTTTTAACTTTGTCGATTTTTGTTGTATTTGTTTAAGTAATGATAAAAAAAGATTTTCGTTATTTATTTTTTAATATTTATTTTATTCAGCGGTTATTGTTGTTTAAAAAAAAATTGTATACAGCTGTTTTGGTTTTGCTGTGGCCAGTAAAAGACAATAGACCGACTGTGCTCGGCTTATTTTTATACAAGTATTATTTCTAAACATTGTCCTAAATATTGTTTTACATATTTTTTCTCTTTATTTTATATTTTATTTCGAAAATGGCTGAAGGTGCTGAGAAACTTACATCAAAGCAACCCAAGCGGTTGAGCATCGACCCACATATTAGTAAGTCTGTTTTTTCGCGACTCCTTCCTTCGGTACTACTGAGACCACAAAGCAAGGAAATAAAGAGGCGACACTGTCTGATTTTCAGTCAATCTTGGCCAATTTAGACCGAAATTTGAAGCGCTGTCTCAAACTGGCATTGGCCGTTTTAATGCGTCTAGTAATGAAAACTAAGAACAACGTGATATCATTGTAGTTTGAGAGAAAGAATATTCTTATGACAAAGTTATTAAGCAATCAATGTATACAATATTGTCTAATTCTAGTTTAGTTGATAGTCTTGTACTACCTATCTATTATGAGTTTTGTTTGTCTTTTGTATATAACTAGCAATTCTTCAAATAATATTTTTGTGTCAACTCTTATTTCTGATCAAGGTGCATCAGAGCTTTTAAATATCTCTATATTCCTCTGGATGGTAAAAAAAACATTTGATAATTTTTCAATGTGCTGTTTGAATGTTATTTAGGCTTGATGTGTCTTCTAACTTTTCTTGAGTTGTAAATTATTTGGTTTGTATTCCACAGTGGAATAACAGAACATGATTCAATACCTTATATCAATCAGTTTTAAGTCTGTAATTATTTATACACTTAATGTATATCTTGGTCGATTAATAAAAAAAATTATCTCTTTTTTCTTCTTCCTCTCCTTAATCCCAACTACTTGGGTTCGGCTACCCTTTTCCTAAATTTCAACTTGACACTATCTCCCACATCCTCTACGCTCACATCAGCTGTTTTCATATCGCATTCAATAACATCTCTCCATCTTTTTATTCGTCTTCCTCTACCTCTTCTTTCTTCAACATTCATCTCTTTTATTCTATCAATGTAAACTAAATACGATACAAAGAAGTATACATCTTATTTTTATACTTTTATTTTTGAAAATCAATTTTGGTGTATAATATTATACAGGACGATTCACTAAGAATAAGACTCTCATTTTCTCGGAAGCGCAACCAGGTTGGCAACCTTAATACTAAGTCGCCATATATGATATAAATTGTATTATTCGTTGTGGCCAAAATATAAATTTTACGGTTTGTAATCTTACAAAATAATAATCGTTAATGAGTTTTGGCACCCGCTTAATGATATATACGAGGTACGCTAGTAGTGTTCTGGCAACATAAATGAAGTTAAATTTTAATATTCATATGTTGTTTTTTGTGACGATAATAACGTCACGATACTATGCAGTTATAATGCTAAAATCTATGACACATTTGTTTTTAATCAACATAAATAATCCTTAAATGTGGTTGTATACTACTTGCAATAGTTGGATCGATAAATAAACCGAAAAAAATGTAAGTCATTAATCGGGCGTTTGGCATCAGAATGACTTCCCTGCAAAGTTAACGGACATTTATTTCTACACATAAGTTTTCATGAGACTATTACACAGTAGTTTTAGTGCGAAGTAATAAATGCTACGTCACATTAACTGGTTTTCACATACTTGGAAGGTACAAACAAATAATCAAGAAAATAAATGGTATTACGTCTGTGTCAGAAATCAAAATTTAAGTTAAACATCCAAAGTATTGGCTATGCGTTGTTTTTCCAAAATGGACACACATAGAAAAGAACAATTAATCTTCCAACAGTTTTAGTGTTCACTGGAGCATGACGTTCAAGTACAGCTAATTCGTATCCGATATTCGTTTTGTTCGAAAAAGACTCAAGACTGTATATTTTTATGTATTTGAACTATTTACTTGACTCTACTCTCTCAAAATTGCATTTTATTAACATTATTTAATTTAAACACTTCCTGTAAATAGTTAAATAACTAATTCATTGCAAAAATAAATAATAATATAATACAAATTTACTTTTCATTGTTTTATTACTTAGGAATATTTGTTGCTAGTTAGGAAATACTCTTAAAAAGAAAGAGTAATATAGATAAAATTCAAAAATGTATATGTAGAGTTGCTATGAAATAGACAATGCACATTACGTTTATTATCCTCCCAAATTAGTCAACCACACAACTTGTCCAATCTATTAATAAAAATGCTAATAACCTCTAAGATAATGATCAAATTATGGTTATCAACCAAAATAATTATTAAATTTAAAATCATATTAAAAACATCATCTTAAATAATTATTTATTTAATCGCAATTGAAAGAGTATCGAAATTAAAAAGAAATATTTTCAAAAAAGGTTTTTAATGTGAACACTATTTCATTTCATTTACAATGTACCTTTTAATAAGTAAAGTAGTTATTTCATTTCAAGACATTTCAAGTAAAAGATAGAAAAGATAGAAAAGAACAGAAAATTTTAGAGTTACACAAAGAAAATAAAGTAAATCGTTATAGAAGTTATCGTAATAAAAGTTGCGAATTTGAGTAAGCCAGTCTACAAATTAATATATAGAAAATAATGATGAAAAAGAAAAATTACAAAACTGTTATAGTTTTAATTTCAAACATAAACACGATAAATAAATACATCAATTCATCATATAAGTTACACATGAGAAATGCACATTATGTAAAGAAAGAGAGACACTTTAAATTTTATTTTCAGAAAGTCTAGTAAAATAAAATGAAATTTATGAAAAGCCCGTTGAATAATATTTAAACTAACTTAGTAAACTCTGACACACTAAGTTGTAAAATTGTTCAACTATAATTATTAAGTAAATTAGTCGTTGCCCACAGTATTTAAATTAATTATTATTAAAAGTGTCATTCAATATAAACTTTATAATGAAAAAAAAAAATTAAATTACTCATTGCCTACGCTCAATGAGGCGATGTCACGGGTCAAGGACCCAAGTATAATATTAAGAATTATAATTACAATAAATTTGACTTAAAAGTAAATTTTTATAAACAGCCTGTTGCACAAAGTTGCCTGTTGTTATCAGTGTCGACATAAAGTATAAAGCAATAATTTTTTCAGTTGAGAAGCTTGATAGTAGATCCCAAATGAAATTTATCAAAAAATGTTTGATTTTTAAAAAAGAACAACCAAAAGTTTTTTTATATAAATTTTTCATTTGTATTATCATTTGGCTCATACTTTCTAGTAATGAAAGTTTATTAAATTAAATTTGGTTACTCACAATTATACGAAAGTTAGTATAAAATTATTTAAACATTCTAATACATTTTAGCTTTTACGAGAAGCTGAGAAGGTATTAATTTTATTATGTGTTTTTTTTGTGTCTGTTACCACTTTTTCTCAGCATTCACCGAATGGATTTCTTTTAACAATACAAAAGATCACAAATCGTATCTAGTCGAAGACATTACCCTCAAAAATTGAAAAAATTTCCCTCGTTCCCCGTAAATGGGGGAAACTTCCAAAAAAATTACAAATTTAAAAATTGCTAATTTTCGAAATTTTTTAAATTTTTTTACTAAAAACTGCCGTAACTTTTTCAAAAATGAACATATCAATATAATTTTTTTTTTATAGATGCTTGATGTCCTTACCTATCATTTGGTATATTTTTTTTTGTAAATTTGACCCTTTATCTGCCCACAGGGGGGGATTTAAAAGGACAACTTTTTCAACTTAACTTTTGAAAATGTTCCGGAAGGTCTGACACTTTTATATATGTATCTTAAATTAAAGCTTATGTAATATACTTTAATTAAAAAAAAAAAATTTGACCTTTAGACTTGTCTTCACGGCAAAAATGGCTACCGAATGCTATTTTCGTCTGAAAATTCTCGATTTTATTTTTTATATTTTTAACTTTATAATGCTATAACTTATTGAAAAGTGTATGGATCAACACAATTTTTTTATGAGAAACAATATGTTTTAATAATCCCTTTTTCATTCGACGTACTTTATCTTAATCAGGATATTAATAAAGAAATAGCAGATCATGTAGCTTTTGGAATAATCCACCAATTTTTTAAAATTAAACACTATCTAAAGATTTGTATCGAAGCGTTTTTTTTTTATAGTGATTTTAATCACTGTCAGATATTATTATACTTGATCCAACTATGCCACGTCACCACTGTGCCGCGACCACCCTGTGCAGGGTTTTTAATTCTTATAAAATTTTCTATCTAATGATGTCAATTTCAAACTTGCAAGTTAAGCTAAAAGTAATGATACAAATTCAACTTTTTTTTATTATAAACTTTTTATTACAAAAACAATTTTAAAGGACCAAAAAAATAGGTTAAAATGTCATTTTGCACTGATTATTTTTAACATATTAAAAATCAAAATCATTAATAATGTGAAAACAAGTTTTTTTTGTTTTAATTTTTTTTTATATGAAAATACTCATTTTTACTGGTTAGTAATAATATCAAAAATTAGAAGTGAAAGAAAAAGTCTAATTGAAGATTTGAAAACAGCGCGAAAAGTTGAAAAAGAAAAGTATATTTTTGATGCTTTTGAGGAAAGTTCCATGTAGTCCAGTGTATTTATTCATATGTAACAAACAGTTTTTATTGAAAAGTATTGCATCAAGTCCTTTAAATTTTTATACGCATTAAAAGTAAAGAAATATACAACTACTTTATTATTTTTATAAATTCTCCGCATAAATTATTGAATGTTAATTTCATACTAAATTTAATTACTATAATTAGTATTTATTCATATATTATATTTTTAAATCAAAGAACCACTAATTAGAATATAATTAAGGAAATAGGAATTAATGTTGCTTTTGTAATTATCCAACAATTTCTTAGAATTAAACACTATCTACAGATTTGCATCAAAGCGTTTCTTATAATAGTGATTTTAATCATTGTCAGATATCATCCATACTTGTCCTATCTATGCCACGTCTACACTGTGCCTCGACCCTACTGTGCTACCGTTTTTTCATATAATCTAGAAATAATTATTATACAGGGTGGCCCAGCACTCACTGACAAATTAAATAACTTTTGATCCAGTTAATATTTTTAGCTGATTTTTTTTTTAAATATTAGTTATACGTTAGGTCTATAGCTATATCTCAATAATTCATTTTTTTACATTTTATTAAAAATATTAATTATTTTTAAATTTTAAATAAAATGTAAAAAAAAATCTAAGATAGCTATTTTGTAGAGTAGAATTTAAGAAAAATTATAATAAAAAAATATCTTATTAATATTCAGTAGTAAATATTCTGTAGCATTTTAAAGTTTGTGAAAATTTGAATTTTCATGTATTATTTTACGGTATTAAACATTGAAATACGTATTGAGAAAAGGACAGAAGAAAACACTATCTTTTCATGATTTCTATAATTTGGAAGTATGTAATTTTTTCCATGAAAATTACTTATACCTTTGAATGAGAGTGATAAGTAAATTCTTAAATCCTACTCTACAAAATAGCTATCTTAGATTTTTTTTTTTTAATTTTATTTAAAATTTAAAATTTAAAAATAATTAATATTTTTAGTAAAATGTAAAAAAAATAATTATTGAAATATAGCTATAGACCTAACGTATAACTATTATTTAAAAAAAAAATCAGCTAAAAATATCAATTAGATCAAAAGTTATTTAAGTTGTCAGTGAGTGCTGGGCTACTTTGTATGCCTATTGTTGACAAAAACCTCTCTAAACATGCCTCCTTTTAAAGTTTTATACTTACTATCAATATTTATATAATTTTTATGTTCATAAACGAGACTAAATCATTATCTATTAGTAGCTATTATCAATGTAAAAACAGTGTGAAGAATATAAGATAATTGATTCTTCTTTTTCCAATCATAAATTATAAGGCAATTTTTTTTTCTGGAGATTAGAAACGTAATAGGCTTTTATGCCCTGTTTTCAACGAAAGTGAATCTTTTGTTTATCGAAACTTGATATCAAACAAAAAAACTTTAAGAACAAACATGCTTTATGCCGTAGTCATTTATTTAACGATGATAAAAGATCATCTTACAAGACACAAATATCCTTAACTATAAGGATATATCTTTAACTGTATAGTTGATACGCAATTTTTATTCAAACTAATATTGATTTGTTTTTATCAATAATTTATTACACGTAGTGTGTACTTTAACGATGTATTCTCTACTATGCAGCCTTACAAGTTGGGTCTCACTTATAAGCCGTGACCAAGTACCAATAAAACAAGTAATTTGGTTTGTTATTGAGAATAATTAACACATTAAACTTATTTAAATGATACTAAATAATATATTTTAAAAAGTATTTTTATGGAGACTTGAATATTTTAATCACTTGGTGATGTCTATTATGAAAAGCCGTGTCAGTATTAAAAAATTTCTTTTGAAGCGGAATGAATTATTATATTGTTTTGTATATTAACTTAGCCTTATGTTTAATGTTGTAAAAAGTTTATGGTCGAATCTTAGTTAAATTAAGCTTACCATATATTTAGAAGTTTGAGTTTAAAATTTATTCTCTCGTTTAACATTTAGTTAACTCAATTGTAAATGAATTGTTTAATTAAAAGTTTAGTGGAATAAATAAAAAAATAAAGTTGCTAGTTAAAGCACTATATTCAGTCTGTAAAAATATACATAACTATTTAATTGGTAATATAGAAAAATAAAATTAAGATATAATAATGTTATTTAAATAAGGTACTCTAATGATTTAACTGTAGTAATAATTGATCGTGTGGCGATTATTATGTACATTATGAATCCATTAAAATAAATGTCTTTTTTTTCTTTTAGTAGAAGTAAATAGACAAAAAATAATACGTTTTCAATGTTTTACATTTTATAAAATGTAAATATAGTACTGGAACTTTCTACATCGACCACAGTAAAAGCTTAAAACTGTAACCATCAACCAAGAATGAAAAATATATAGGACCGTTGGGAAAAGCTCATCTGTACCGTGAACGCATAACTATTAGTAATTAAAACTTAATTAATAGCACTATTACACTCTTACTAGGTTACTAAGCTTCATGTTCAAATATTTCTAAATTAAACAAACTCAAAGATTACCATATTTATTATTGGTTCACATTCTTTTAAAAATGGTATAACTTTTTAGTTGTGTTTAAGTGAAAAAATATTAGGATATTAGAATTTTACATAGCATATTTATAATTTGTTAATAATCAATTACTTTTAACTTCGATGCGATGCTGAGAAGATATTAATTTTACCATGAAGTGATTATTTTTTTTTTTTTGTATCAGTCACTACTTTTTCTAAGCTCTCACTGGACAGATTTTTCTTAACGAAACGTCAAAAAATCACAAATCGTATCTAGTTGAAGAAATTGCCTTAAAAATTTGCCCTCGTTCCCCGTAAATGGTGAAAATCCCCCAAAACATTACGATTTTTAAAATCGGTAAATTTCGACATTTTTAAAAATTTTTTTTCTAAAAATTGCCATAACTTATTGAAAAATGAACGAATCAAAATAATTCTTTTTTATATTGAAACCATATATATTTTTCTTTCATTTTATATACATTTTTTGAAAATAAAACCCTTTATCTGCCCATAAGGGGGGATTCAATATAGAAATTTTTACGTTTAATTTTTTTTAAGTTAAACTTTTTCAACTCAATTTTTGAAAATTTTCTGGAAATATTGACACTTTTATTTAATCTTAAATTAAAGCTTATGTAATATACTATTCTATGAATAAAAAAATTTCGAGATATAGTGAACATGGTTATCATATTCAAAAATGTGCTCTTTTTGTGTTAAAATTCTTGGTATTGTATTTTAATTAATTTTAATATACCTTATAATGGGGTACACTGATTTACATTAATTTTATATAAAACTAATTGACATAGAATATTAAGTTAAACTTATTTCAATCTTTTTTTCTTTTGAGTCCAATAAATTAATTTTAACATTTGAATGAGCTTAAATTGCCAATTTTATGAAAAAAACGAATGCGTCAAATGCCTGTGGCATTGATTTTTTTGCAATTTTTCTTTAATTCTATTTGAGATAGAATTTTGCTTTAGAATAATCCATCAATTTCTTAAAATTGAACAATATCTATAGATTTGCATCGAAGCGTTTTTTATGATAGTGATTTTAATCACTGTTGAATTACATTTATACTAGTCCCATGTATACCACGCTCATACTGTGCCGTAACCCCACTGTGCTACTGTTTTTTTAGCATCAATTTGACAATATTTTTTGTTCAACTAACGAGAAAATCGACAAAGAAATATTTTGTGCTTCTAAGTTAAACGGATTTAATTTCATGGAAATTTTAATCATTCTTATCGAAATTTTCTCTAACAATAAAAAAAATATTGAGGTAGAATTACCTATATTTTTGATTTAGCATTTCGAAATCTTAGCTACTGTTTGTATTATTTGTCGTAAAACATTTACAAATAATTTTCTTTGGTATAGTTATTCAAGTCTGCATCCTCATTTAAGTACAAACTTAACTTAAAGTATAACTTACAAGGTGTACCGAGAAAACCGACGTTGTTCCGGTCCGGAAGAAACGTCGTACAATAGACAGAATTGACTAGACGTAGGAACGTGGTAGAAGTGATCGTATTGTTTGGTCAGTGGTAGTTCCCAATATTCATATACATCAGCTAAAAAACAATAAACAACAATTTTTGTTAATATTAATTTAAAATTTATAGTAAAATATTGAAATAATGTTACAAAAAAACTACGATTGTAACACATTGTGTTATGAAATAAAATTTTTATTTTCATTGTATCGATAATAAACTAATCACGTAAGAAACATATTTTTTTATGCAATGCTATGTGTGTTATTTTCTTGGCGACAATGGTAAATCTATAGCATACGACTAACGAGTATTGGTCATATATAAAATGACATAATTAACAAAACATAGGTAGTAATTATTTCCAGAAAAAAGTTAGTAGAACAATGAGATACAATTAAAATTATAATTCATCTAGAAGTTAATTTTAACAGATGATATTTGATTATTTCGAAATTGTAAATCGTAATAGTATATTATATAACTGATAATAATTGTTTATATTTTATTGAAAGTAATCATCTTTTAAAGTCTTAAATACGTTTGTTAAAAAATATATACTCGCAGAATTCTTTTCAGATATAATAAAATAAAAATTATACCTCTAAAGAAAATTGAAAGACATCAATCATGAACACATATTTGTCAAATGTTATGTTTTGTACATTTTTCAAAAATCAATTTTAGTACAGTCTAGTACGTGTGATTTTCGACGTTAAACCGTTTATCATAAAATATACATCATAAATAATTTTCCAAGAAAAATTTATGAAATATATTGCAAAGATATTTCAAAGTTTCTGTTTGGGTGAACCAATATTTAATTTATTTATTTAGAGCCAAATAATTAGATTAATATTGTTTTCGATCAGTTAACTAGGAACTTTTAGTATTTTGCATTATTTATATTCATCTTAGACAAATTCATGGAAACGACATGTATTGAGACATGGTAGGTCACTGGGATTAATTATAGAAGGCTGCGTAGAAGGTAAACATGCTAAGGGAAGACCACGAATAGAGTACACGCAACAAATAATTAAGAACCAAGGGCGTAATTCTTACAAAGAGACAAAAAGAAAGTCAAACAATAGGGAAGAGTGGAGAATTACCACAAACCAATCTCAGGTTTGAATACAAAAGAAAAAATATTCATCTTGGAAAAATATTGTAACGAGATTTTCATTAATTACATAATATATTAATGATAAATAAAACTGTTGCACATATTTGACTCTTCATGCAGTTCTCGCGTTTATCGTGAATATACGTTTTTATCTGCCATGTGAATTTCAAGAGCAATAGTGCCAAGACAAAATTTATTAAAATAAAATAATAATTAAACATTTAATTTTGTAGTAAGGAATTACCACATATTTTTATAAAATTTCAGGTGTGTTACCAGACCATCTTTTAAGAGATAAATGAAACACGAATTTATAAAATAATTTTTTCAGATTTTATGACTAATAATATTAAATAGAACACTCGTTATAATGAACATATTATTACAAGTGTGTACAAGTCTAAAAGTACTACTTAAGCACTTGAACAATTATTTCCCTGTAACATTATAGTCGTACAAAAAGAACCTGTTAAAGGAACGCGGCTGTGTGCTCAATAATAATAGTAATTAAAAAAATCATAAATATCGCAGTGGGAATAAATTAGAAATGAAATTGTAATTTTATTATACATTTGTTAAATTTTAGTCACTATTACGTGTATATATATTCATATCGGTAAACGGTTATAATGTTTGTGTCGTAACTTATTGGTAAATAAATGGCACAGAGAACTTTGAAATCAATTTCAAAGTGCTTTAACCTTTAGAATTTGTAAACAGTGAGAAAACTATTGATTTATTATTAAACCGTCTAGTCGTAATAATGGTATCATTACTCATATCAGGACTGAATGGTTTTGGCGGACACTGGTGATAGAATCGATCACTAACAATGTCTGAATGTGCTCTAGACTTAACTCTGGTTCTACGACCCGGTACATATATGAAATCCGACCTTGTTGACTCGGGGCCGGCTGCAGAAGACAGCGACACCACTTGGTCAGCCGAACAATCTGTCGTGTCACTTGAATGTCTCCAAGAAACTTCTCTCAAGTCCAAGTCCCACGGGTCCATGTACTTTCTACGTCCATGTGCAGTCTATTTGATAAAAATAATTTATACGAGTGCTATTAATATTATATCGACAAATAAATTATACATTATCTCACGATAAAAATGTCTATATAAATTGATTGGTGACAATGACCAAACGATTTCATCGACTAGGGGTATATTCTAAAAAATATCAATTTAAAATTGTGCAAANGTACTTTCTACGTCCATGTGCAGTCTATTTGATAGAAATAATTTATACGAGTGCTATTAATATTATATCGACAAATAAATTATACATTAGCTCACGATAAAAATGTCTGTATAAATTGATTGGTGACAATGACCAAACGATTTCATCGACTAGGGGTATATTCTAAAAAATATCAATTTAAAATTGTGCAAACGTGTCCGAATACGATACATTTTTTTATGGATTTGTTAACAACAAACACTTAGTTATGCGATTTGTTGTTGAATGGGTAAAAACGAATTTTGTTAAAATTTAACAATGATTTTTAGTCAATTGTACGCTCTAATTTAAATAATAATCTCAGAGTAATAAAATAGTATAAGAGTTAAATTTAGATTCATTCAAAACCTAGAGTTCAATTTCATGATAATTTAAACTATGAATAATAAACGTTAAAATGGGGAAAAAAAATCTAATATTGGATTAATCAATCAAATTGAAAACCGTTTTTTATTTAAAACTCAATAAAGTACTTACACTATCATAATAATGATAAATGTGTTTCCTCTATCCAATTGGTACATAATTTTAACTGATCAGTTTGTAGATTGAATTAACGAAAATATTTACTTACTGTAATAATGGACGATGAGTCGGACATTGTGTCAGTGGCTGATTTGTCTTTAGGATATGAACACGCGACCGATACAGTAGAACAGAGTTGGACATGCGGTGGAAAAAGGCGCGCAGGAATATACTTTCTTCTTTCGAAATCAGCTCGGCAATGTTTAATGTGACCAGCGTGAAAAATCAACGGTGGAGGAATAATTGGAAGTATAAAAAAATTCCTCTACGTGTATTTTTCTATACCATACTCCTACTTAAATTACAAAACCCTACAATGTGTTTTACTTAAATTGCAACAATCCACTCGACTCTTTGGGCATTCCGTTGTTACGACCGCTATTATAAATATTTCGGCTACAATATGATCCGTACCAGCGTTATTGTCATGTATTAGTATACACACAACAAAAGTATAATGTACATTCATTCATGTTATGAGAATGCGTTGTATAAATTGTATGTTATGAGTGTCACGTGATCATAAAATAATATACAAACGTTTTACTGCAAAAATAATAATATATTAATAAAAAACAGTTCTTTTGTTTTTGTATTGACACATACAAATAATTGTTAAACAATTTTCAGCGATTAAACAACAAAAGACACTAAAATATTATGATTTAGTATTATTCGAGTGAACAAAAATTTGATTCTACAGTATACTTATTGAGTATTTTACAACGAACTAGAAGAATATCTTTAATGGCGGTTTAAAGAAGTAGTTCATTTGAACTTTAAAATAATATAAAATTACTGCTTTTATCAGCACTTGTAATAAATGTTTAACTAAAAAGTTAATTACTATACCCCTAAATTTGTTTTATTCTTTTTTAATTTTTAAGCTATTCCATTACTTATAATAGTTGTCTTTGAACAAAAAGTTTTACTCTTCTAAAATGAACTCGGCAACAAATTAATTATTGATTTTTATGTCGTTGTAAAATTGTTTTCATTCAAGTAATAATTTAATGCACTTGGATTTACTTTCCAGGTGCATTTTGATATAAGTTCATATGACAAGCACACCGGTACAAAATATAAAATGTTATTTGTCGTCTTTAGTATTTATAAAACGCTAACTGTACATATTATATAAACTTGGTTTTAAAGTTAAGGCAATGTTGTTATTATCTTCAAACTCAAAAACTTTGAGAAATTAATCGCATCATTAATTTAGTAAAACTTAACACGTTCAGCTGCTAACTTCAATTTGGATTATTTAGTATCAATTTCATAAAACTCTACAATTATTTTTATTTTGCATTTAAACGAATTGATCGTAAAAAATGTATTTAATTATAAAATAATTGTGTGGGAACTTTTCCTGATAAAATAAAATATGTTTTTATAAAGTGTGAAAGGAGTGCCAGCGTTGAGTGATATTTTGGACCGCGTGTAAAAAAAATGTCAATTACGAGGAAATGGAAAAACAGAATCATGTGTCAACTCGAGAAAATATTCGCGACTAGCTGTCAGCCTACAAGGCGTCGCATAAGAATGTCGGGGAATCATTATTGCCCAACCGTCAACAGAAAACAGCTCAAATACGGTTCGCTGTTAGTTTTTTTCATTTATCTTCCTCACCAATTCAGAATATTAATTGTTCTCGGCATAAAAAACATCGCCAATACTGATAATCTGAGCAAAATATTTGTCGGACGCTATGCCGACTTCGATTTAGGACGTACACTTAAAATACAGAGTGATTTTCTTAACTATGCCTCACGCAATATCTAGAAAAATATATAATATTATAATCAAATATATCATACAAAGTTAATTATATCCTATTTTATATTTAAATATTATATTTAATTACAAAAAAAAAAATTTGTTTCTGTCTATTCCCCTTAAATTGTTATCGACTTTAATTTTTTAAATGGAAACATATACGGTCGTTTTTATAGCAACAGTGCAGTGTATTACAGGTTTTCATAATGATCAAAAAACAAATTTGAATTTTACTTGTTTTAATATAAGAGGAAATTTTACTTTTGTAACATTCAATAAAACTACAAATCTATCAAAAAAAATGCAATACAAAATATATTCAGACACTCAATATTATTTTTTGTGTAAAAAATAATGGAAAATATGTGTAGAAGTTCTAAGCGATAATATATTTAACCATCAAAAGACTAGAAAATGATTATTCTAATAAAATGATTGGTCGATAACAACTGTCGGACCAGTATTTTACTAAAATTATTAACTTTTTAATAGAAAGACTAGCGATATAATGTGGGTCTGTTTATTTTTATTTTTAGGTATTAATGAACCGCAATATTCTTCCCGCCTTGTTATAAAAACACTATTATCTTTTTAAATACTATTCCAAAATTTGTTATAGATCAGTTATTTTTCTAATTGGTAAGTTAGTTAAACATATAATTTCCATTAAAAAAACTAGAGTTATTAATAATTTAGAGTGGGGAATAGGACCAAATTGTTTTCTGAAACGTATAGAATGCTAGTAGAGTATTACATATTATAGAACGTAATACATTATTAACTACTGAAAAGAAAAATTTATCGTTTATATTTTTAAAGTTACTACGTGGTACATAATTAAACAATCAGTCTATATACTTGAAGCATAATAATTTTAGTCTGCCAAAGTATTTATACAGTTTTTAGTTTAAAAAATAAATATTTTTACCCTTTCTGAAACTTTAGAGAAAATTTATACCCTCCAGAAAAGGCGGAAATAATTATTTTAAAACAGAGTATTAGGGTTCTAAAACGGGTTGGTATTAGAGAATATTATATATGAACAAAGACCTAACCGTTTACAAACAACGAAAGTTTAATGACTCAAATCTATTATACTTGTTTACTTGGATTTATTTTATAAAATATAAAATAGAGTGCAGTTACATGTATTCCATAAAAATGAATACATTACATTAGATGAGTAGATACAAATGAACGATTACGTTACATTGAATGTTTTTTACTGTGCATCTTTTAACATCTAAACATTGCTTTGCTGAAAGATCATACGCTGTAATATTTAATCTTCTAAAGTATACCAAGTAACGAGCTGACTTTAGTATTCTGTAGTAAAATGTTCTTATTTGTTGTTACATTTTCCACGTATTTTTTAATAGAGCTTAGAACTAAAAATTATAATATTGAGTTACATTGGTAGGTATTTGAAGTTATATAACTATACAGAATTGACACAATTTAAATATTATATGTATAGATATAATATTTATAAGATTCAGTTATGAAATTTATCAATTTTTTCATTTAAAAACATGAAATTTAAAACAAATAAAGGAGTTCTTCGCTTAAGAATTTTCTTTTTCGGTCAATATAGGATTTAAACTAGTTTAGAGGTATTATCAATACAATAATATTAAATGAAATAGCAGATTACTTCTTAGAAAAAATTGAAAAACTCGAACATGTATAAAACACATACAAATAATAACAAAAATGTATAAAATGTATTCTTTGATATTATAAATTATTATTTAATAATAATTTATATACAATAATCACATGTATTATAAGTGTTTAGTACCTAAATTAAAAAAATAAATTACAACTCAAAATTTAATTAGACAATCTAATAAAAATATGTCTAATAAATTAAAGTAGTAAATCCACGAGAATACCATTTATATTTATTTTTTAAGAGTTAACTTTATTCATCCCAGTGACAAGAACTTAGAATGTGATTCAGCTAATTTAAGTAATGTATATTAGATAAAATCATTAAAATAATCGACATTGTAGCATTGATCTGTTTACTTACAAACAACTATCTTGAAAACTTACTTTGAGTCAAAGAAACGCGAGTTTTTACTCGATGTTTATTTTACCTTTACCTGAGATTGGGTGAGAGCAGTTTTTCTGTAAAGAATTCTATGTTTTATCTTTGGGCGTTTTGTTGTCAAAAGAAAATAATTTGATATACTGCACTTGTATTTTAAAAATACAAGGTATGGGAGTAAAAATAAAAATAAGCCTATTTTATGTAAAAATTAAAGTGTATTATGCTTACGCTGTTTATACTTTATGTGGACTTAAAACACAAAGAAACTGTTAATTAGAAAATAACACTAAACAAATTTTTGGAGATTCTTAATTAATTCAATTGTTTCTTTTTGGCTTATAATTTATAATATATAGGTATATAAATAATTGTAAGATTTGGTTTAGTCGCTATATTTCCCTATTGTTTAATATTCAAAGTAAATTTTATTTTTTTGAGACAAATGATTGTAAAAATTAGATTTAAAATTTTCAGTATTAAATTTAACGAGATAACTCCATTAGCTGTTATTAAATTGAAAAATAAATAATAAAAGTGATAGTTTTAGGTCATTATATATTTGATGATGCAATAATAAAAATATATAAAAAAAAAAAACATTTCAACACAGTTAATTTACTCATAAGAAAATTCATTAGTATACTAACCGTATAATAATATTATTTTTATACTAATTTGTAACTATAAACTTAACATACAATATATTTTAATAGTAATAAAGAATTCTTTTGATAATATTTTTATTATTGAATAAATAATGTACACTTAACGAGCGATAGAAAATAAGATTGAAATGTATACATTTATCACAGGAAAGACGTAGAACAAAACAGTCATGTCTGAGAAGGACGGAGGTAGGAAATTTAATAGCCACATTTCAATGAACCATGTGACCAATATATATACTTAAAAAAACGTAATGGGAAAATTTTGGAATATAAATAAAACATAATATTACTCTACACACAGTTCAATGAATATGCAAGTGATTTTGAAATCTTGTACGTCAGTCACTCGAATAGAAATTTGCTATTCAGGCGGCTTAAACGATCAATATATATATTTTACGTTATTATATATACACATTATTATAAACTTCTACAAACACACGTGTACACGTATCATTATCACATGAACGGAATCGTTTGAAAAGTGGTTCCGACATCCATCCACGCATAGTGATAGTGTGTGCTAATCAAAAATTCTACAGATATGGTTAGTTTGAGTTATTTAAGCATAATATTTGGTTTTAGTATGAACTTTTTAGATGTCTCAGTTGTTTACACAGATACACTCACGCATATGAGTGAAGGTATCTGTACATATTATTGTTTATGCATAAACAATGAAATACAACAAAAATACTGCAATAAAAATTATTTGTAGGATAAAGACGCCCGTCAAAAACTCAAAGCTTATAAAACATGTAGATTGCCGCAAGACTTTGATTTGGAATCAAGTAAACACATTTTTTGAAGTATTTCCTTAGCTATGTGTAAAGACAGTGATGTCTTGGATCCATGAATGTCTGTCCGCTTCCTTTGGGTTTGTTTCTTTTTATCTCTTGTCTCGCGCAATCGAATCTGCTTTAGAACGCCTACCAAAAGCTCATCAACATTGTGCTGAATGCCACTTGATGTTTCAATAAATTTACATTCCCTGGAACATGCTAGATGTTTTCCCTCTAAAAATACAATGTTTATTTACTCAATGTTATTATACTTTTTGTATTTATTTTATGTTTAGTTTATTTATATTTTAATTAATTATTTTTTATAATAAAATCGTAGTTGTTGATTTTTTTTTATACGTAAAAAATATATAAACTGGCCTATAATTATGATGCAACAGTTAGCACACTGTGAGGATTGTTTAATGAAAAAAATTTTATGCAGTATTATTATCCTATTGCGAAATAAAAAACATTAAAAATCCAATGGTCGTCACTTATCTCATCTACTGTAATATTAAAAATGTCCATTCCTGTATAATTTTCAGGAAGCAAAAAAAAAAAAAATTATAAATTTTTATTCTTTTAATAGTAAAACAAAATTAGACACTAATTTTAGTAAAATGAAAATATTTTTCATTAAATGGATGTCATTACTCAATAATACGTCCAATAAGAGCTACTGAATCAATCTATAAAATCGAAATCGAAAAAAATGGACTTGTATTGATTTTACAGGTTACACACTCATTACTTGTACGCCTTTTTGAATTAATATTAATTAACACTTGAATAGTGCTTCTAACGAGAATTCGGCTTACCGAGAAAGGCTATTATTAAATCTATTTCAGTGCTCAAAGAGAATGAAATTGTTGGCTTCTACTAGAACGCTGTATTTCTCTGTAATGGTAATAACCAAAACAAGAAAATGTATTAAGTTGTTTAGATAATGAAAATATTAATTTGAAAATTATAAGATAAGTCAATTGACAACTATATTTTATTTGCTCGAAATACTGTGATCATTATATTTATATATTCAATATCTAGGGTCACAATTTTTTGTTAGAACGTTTTGAAATTACCTTCAGTAGTTATACATCTAGCTCTCATTAGGTCGGCCTTGTTTCCGACTACAATAACAGTTTTTTCTCGTGTATAATTCTCTTGCCATAAATAATTCAATATCTCTTCGGCTGTTTTCAAAGACCCTTTGGATACTACAGAATACACGACAATACATGCATGAGGTTCGTATGTTGCTATCGAATTTTCTACCTGGAATCCATACAATACGTTAATATTACGTAAGACGGCGGTGCATTGTACGGTAAAAAACAAATGATATTTAACTTGTGCGTTAATTGAATAACGCGGAATCATTTACATTTTATACGAGCGGCGAGTTTTCCAAGTTCATAAACGCAATGCCGAATAATTCATGATCTAGAATATTATGTTCAACAAATAATAATTTAGCCAACATCATAGTTCGGTGAATTTTTATAATAAACGTGTTTGTTATCACTTACGAGTTCAATATTCCAAACACGCGTTTCCAACAGAAATGATCGATTTAAAACTTATTGTTGTTGTACCTTTGCCCTTTCTTTTTATTACAGACTAATAAAATGTAAGCTACAATATCGATATTACGTTACATGCAAATATTTTCTTGTTGCAAATGAACCTATAATTAGTCGGAACTAGGCAATATTTACTGATCTGGCACATCAAGGCGTGTTCAGTGAAGCAACTACATATTTAAAGACGTTATTATTTTCTTTTTTGAAGCGTTTTTAGTAAAGTAAAATAAATAAAAATTTCAACCAAAAATAAAACAATTTTGTTTTTCAAATTATACTTTTCACGATATTAAGATGGATTCTCTTTTAAATTTCTCTGACATACGTAATACAAAAAAAAAAATTAGTGAAAGATGACCATAAAGTTCAGAGGTTCCATAGTATTTGCTAACTTTTCCTCAAGTTGCACTATTGTATCTTCGGTCAGGATAAAATAACTGAAGCTATTATTCAAAACCTTATTCATTCTTATCGCATACGTAATAATGAAGAAAATAATAATTTATAAAATAAACGATGATTTAACATTAATTTGATATTTCTTTTATTTTTAATTAATATTCGATTACGCGAAACGATAAACATTATATAATTGTCTGATGTAAATTATTAAAAAATTTACTTAGTATTTAACTTCGATTAATTTTACGCACAATAGCGTATTGAATAAATGATGTATAAATCAACTCTTAAAAAATAAAATCGAAATAGTTTGTCAGTAGTCTTTAAAATAATTTAAAAAAATCAATTTTTATTTTTTTCGAGCATTGTGTTAGTTAAAATTTTACGTCCAAATTACGTCTTACTATAAATTAATTACCTTTCAAATAACAAGGGTTCTTATTTTTTGTTAAAAAAAAAGTCCATAAAAGTACTTTCCATCAGTGGAGTATTAAAAAAAAAAAATCGGAGGAGTTTTGGAAATGTCGAAAGGAAATGTTAATAAAGATTTTCTTGTTCTAGTTTAGAACAAAAAAAAAATTATCATCAAAATGTTTTCAAACTCTATTGTCGTAAAAATAAATTCTAGTTGCATCATTGGAATGGTAATCGTCAAATTTATTTAGTTTTGCTATTGATTTTGACCAACCCGAAGACTCCTAAAATACGCCACAGTTTTTCATTTAAAGAGAAATTAGTTATTTATAATCTGTAAGTTAAAGAATTTCCACATTAAGGAATTTATGATAGTGACCATGTTAACTGAAACACGTCGTGAATAATTAAACTAACAACTTAATTATATTTATCGATTTTTTACAATAATTTTGCTATAAACAAAATGCCGAAAAAAACTATTGGAAATACTTCTTGTTAATGAATTTTCTAAATTAAAATGTAACATCAAATTTATACTTGGCTTATTCTTTGATCACTCGAGGTAAGATAAATAATTGTAGTTTTCTATAAATTGAAATTAAAACATTAAGGAAAGCTTCTAAAAGATAGAGTATACAGTTTATTTTAAGTATAAATAAACGAAACCTCAAATAATTTACTGTGTAAATTATGATTACCGCAATTATAATATATAATGGGCGAAAACTCATCTTACATATACTCTCGGATGCCTCTTCTATATGTACTTGTGATATTATTTAATAATTACAAATATGCGAGTATAATTTGAGTGTATATACAATTTTCACATAAACTTTTTAATTCTACCGAAATATAATCTCTAAATAACTTTAAGGTGTTGCAAATGCTGTGTATTGTTCATGAAACCGATAATGTATCATCCGTCACTAAATATTTGTAGGTCGATGATGCTCGAGTAAACTCATTGTAATACCCTTATCATTTGTCAGAAATTCAAGGGATCCAAGTTAGTTAGTTCAATTCAAACCTTTAGCAAACACGAATTTGTAAAATTACCAGATATAAAACGACGGTAAAAATACTCAACTGCCAAGAGAGATATTGATTTTACAACAATGCAATATTACACAATTTCCCGCATTTGTTATAAAATATTGATTTCAGTAAAAATATTTTGTTGAAAAGTTCAATCATTTTTTTAAGTTTCAGAAAGTAAACAAAAAATATATATTTCTATATGATAATTAGACACTTCATAATGTGCACTTACCAAAGGCTGGCTTTTATAAGTCGAAAGCAAAAATTAAAATTGAAATAAAACTTTTTTTTATTGAACTCCCACTAAAAAGGATTTTTATATCTTTAATAAAATGAAACTTTAAATTGACAATATTTTCCGTAATGTACATAACTTTATATTAACTTTGCATGAAATTTCTAAAGATTTTATTTTAATAATTAAACAATTTTTCCAATATTTATAGTTAAGTATTCTTTTCTAGAATACAATTTAATCCAATAATTATTGTAGTTGTGTATAATCACATATTATACATGTATTACACATCGTTATAAAATAAAGGGCTTTGAATTTCATAATTTTTAGGTTAGTAATTTTGTAGCATTCTAAACTGATTATTTCATCTTCTTATAAATATTATGAGGATGACAAATAAGGTTGCAGGAAGGGAAAACTTGAGAGTTACATTTTATATAGACAGAATAATAATAAAATTATTTATTTCAGTTCGAAACTGCTAAAATACCAAGCTATAAGGTAAACATAGTTTTATTAAAAAAAGTTAAACAATACACTACAAGGAAAGTTTTCATTTGAAAGAAGTAATATTTGGATATACTATAAAAGAAAGGAAACTGAAACAGATTCATGACAACTTTTATAGTATTAAAATTGTTAACTGAAAGCCCATTTTTTGATATAATCAAGTTATTTTGTTAAATTAATAAAAAAACAGTACATAAAATGAATAAAAATGTTATTAATGGTGAATAATTGTTGTTTAATTCTCTGAAAGACAAAATATGCAATCGTTATTTATTTTTTAACGTAGTAATTGAGTATTTAGAAAGTTAATTTGGTTTTATAGCTATGAATATAACCAAAAGTTGTTTGCATTGAAGACTTAAGTTTATCCTTATTATATGAACGATAACTATAAAGTTTTTGTTTGCAATTGAAAATTAGAAAGCAGTTGATCACCAAAATGGAAGGCTTATTGCCCAGACATACTATCTTGGTAGACACGCGTCCAGCAATAACGACTTTTAACGTATATTTCGCCACAAATAAATGATTTCTTTTCTTTATGTCCCCCTCTTAGGCCATAGATATATGCATTCATATAAGCATGTACCCTACAACACTAACGGACGTCGCCAACAGAAACACAGTCCCCTTTATGTCTGAGTACACGAAATATATAGAATATTCTCCTTCCTTCCGAGTGTAACCTCATTACCCCTCGACCACTTCTCTGCCATTCTGTATAAATGTTGCGCACGGGGCTGCATACAATAGAACCTCTAGCAGCTGCTCCACCTCCCGTAAAAATTAAATAACTATTTTTTTGAGGGGACAACACGCATACTTTACACGTTAGATATTTTTACATTTGATGATAAGCTTTAAACGAAAAAAAATATTCGTCAAACTTTATTGTCGTATTCATTAATGTAACAGTTGGTACAATTTTGTACCGGTGGAACTTTGATAGGGTTGTATATAAATTGGCAAACTAAACGCACCCGGAGTAAGTGATAAACTATTCGAGTATTGAACAGAATACCTGAAAATCAAAAGGATTTTACGTCGTCGTACGTTTGTTTGACGTACATAACAATATTAAGTTATGATTCGCCACATCAAACAATACTGTCATATGATATACAAAGTACATACACATGCACACACTGATGTTGCCGCCGGAACTGCAGCTGTCCTTAGGTCGCGTGCCCAACATCTGCCNTGTCGTCGTACGTTTGTTTGGCGTACATATTAAGTTATGATTCGCCACATCAAACAATACTGTCATATAATATACAAAGTACATACACATGCACACACTGATGTTGCCGCCGGAACTGCAGCTGTCCTTAGGTCGCGTGCCCAACATCTGCCGCCCTCGTACACATGGCCCGCCCCTCGTCTTTAGTCGAAAACCCGACAACCGGTTGCCTCCCAGTAGTCAAACGTTAAACCCCAACACCGGTCGAATTTCGCGTGAGTTGCTGTTTTCAGAGCTGAACGGGTGCTGAAGATAAGCATGTACAAGTTATTTGTTAAATAATTCGGCCTAATAAAGTTTTCAAAAACAAATCGCTGTGGATTGTCAACGGTTCACAGGTTGGTAACGATTTATTTTTTTTTAGTTACTAGTAGTCGTCTATGACGTCACAGTAAAAAACGATTGGAGGGGCATCTTCAGCGACCGGAAAGTTTTCCGTTAAATTTAACGGACTCTCTGTAGCTACATACACGCACGTCGGTGTCTTCGAAAATTAACTTCAAGTATAAAAATAAACTTATAGTGGACGTTATTAATTTAAAATGTTAGTATTATGTATTCTTATCGGGAAATTTGAAATTTTCGTATAGTACCGCGAAAAAACGGTGAGTTTTATTGTTAATATTATTAATTATGTTTTGTCACCTAGTAAACTTAATTCAGTACTTTCATTGTCAGCGTATAGAAATATATCATTACATCCAACAAAACGACAACATTTTGCTCACATTAAAAAACATATAATTTACGCGTTACTATAATAGGTAACGTCCTCAAGTTTTATGCTTTAACGAAAATTTGATGATTCTAAATTTTGCAGCCAGACGGACATGTCCCCGACTGGTCATCTCTTGTTCGGAGTTTGTTTATACGGGCAAAGAATTTATATTTTTCATACCAAAGAAAAAATTTTTTTTATCTTTTAAAACCTCTCGACTTTTCGTGGTCACGATATAATATATTTATGTCAAATAAAAGATACACTAACTGATATGTTGACAAACGTATATTATATTGTGATTTATCGTACACGTGACGTTTACTAGCAGTAGTCGTAACAGCTGGTTATCCTCAATTGTTAATACACACTGATCAACGCTATTAATAGCAAAGTTTCAAGTTTTTTACACATGTACGTAATAATAATGATTTCTTGTATGCCATCTTTATGGACTTACAGTTTTAGAATGAAAACGTGATACTTTATCTTTGAGAGAACAATTTTAGAGTGTAATTAACATACGTAACCTGAGTCGACATACAAAGTTATTATAATGAATGTTAATTCAAGCCGGTTTAAATTTTACCCGCTTTAAACAATACAAACAAATCAACAAAGTTAGTCGTAAACGTTTTGGTATAATTTTCAAATATACGTTAAGCATGTCAGTACGATTATTTTCCTTAGTGTTTATAATGTAATTTTATTAAAAAAATTTATTTCTGAAAATTGTACTAAAAAAAATATTTTTTATCGCATTTTTCAATTTTATTGAATTCTCACTAATCAGCTTTCTAGATTTATTTGACAGTTGGATGATGTCATTTGTGTGTTTAATTATCCCGCGTTGAAATTTACTTAGACAATTAAGTTATTTAAATTAACAAGTTTAGTTACACTCATTGTTTGTTTAACAATCTCAGTAGTTTGTAGTAGTGTTTTCGCAAAATAACATTTTTTATCTTAGGCAATTTGTGAGTGTATAACCCTCCTATCTAAATAGTACACAAGTATTATTTTTTTACGGCATACGTCAATTAAAAATATTGCAACTCGGTATACCCCCAAAACATTACTGGTAGTTTGCAATAGTACTATTCTTTAACATTTTAAGATCTTTAACCAAGTTTACAGATTTTGTTAAAAACATATCAATTCTCTGTAATTATAATCATTGTCACATAAATATATAGTGACAACTACTAAAACTAGTTTATATGATTTACTTAACTAAGATCAGAAACAATTGAATTTATTTACACTTTTTAATCTGGAATTTATACAAATATTTATTACTAATTAGCTTTAAATGAGTAAATAACAGAATTGTTGATGTATTTATCATAACAAAATCCAAATGATATGATTTTTCCTTAAAATGAAATACTATATTTTTAACAGATAATTTAATGATGGTTTATTTTTGGTCAACAATATTGTAAGATTGCGACATTCCCTTAAAATTGATTTCTTTAGGTGAGATTTTTAAACATTGTTTAAGAAAACCTTTTGTTTTAGTAATATTAAGTTTTTTTAGAAAGTAACTTGATTAAATATAAAAAAGAATATTTTAATTGTGAGTAAACTATTAACAGTAATGTAAAAACTAATTATACAAAGGAAAAAATAAATGGAGACAATTATTTTGGGTATAAAAAATTTTACTAACGTAAATTTGTACTACTCAAAATTAACGATATCGCATAATTTAACTTTGTATTTATATTATTTGATACTAATACTAAATAACTGATGATACAATTATTAATNATATTAACAGCAATGTAAAAACTAATTATACAAAGAAAAAAATAAATGGAGACAATTATTTTGGGATAAAAAATATTACTGACGTAAATTTGTAATACACAAAATTAATGATATCGCATAATTTAACTTTGAATTTATATTATTTGGTACTAATACTAAATAACTGATGATACAATTATTAATATTTAAATAAAAGAATTGTGTGTAAAAATATAACGTTGGAATCTCAGGAGCTCCAAAATCTGACACAAAAAATTTAACATAAAAGCGCAAATTAACTTTGTAATTGAAAATAATATAACGGGCTGCTATTTATTATACACGAGAATAAAAAGGAAGAAAAGGTGGTGAGTAGTAAACGAATAATTTATCCATCAATGAGAAAATCTCAATCAATGGTAAGCAATTAAAAAAAAAAAAAGACGACACTATTGGAAGTACAGAAATAAAGACAGATGTGTTTTTTACGCCACTGATTTAATAATAGCTATAGGCAATGTGCTTTGAAAAGTTTCGTTATAAATTTTTCAAACGACCTTTGAGTGAATTCGTGAACGAGTGGCTATTTACTTGTAAACAATTTTGTTGGGTTATTAATTATAAAAACGTTTAAAATGGCGGAGATAGCAATGTCTAAGTTATTAGCTGTTGAGCCAATCCGTCAATACAAAATTATAATTGAAAAAAGTACATCAAACCGTCAAAGTATAAATTATACAAGTTAGATATTTAATTTCGCAATAGAAAAAAATCCAATTAATTAAAATTAAACGAAAACAAGCGGATTGTGGAATTTGCATAAGATGACGAAAGTTTACCTGATTTGCAAAACCATTCGGTCTCGATTGTTTGGAAAGCTCAGCAAGTTCGACGGAATATAATATTATAACTATTGTGAGACTATCGGAGCAGCAGTAGGTGAGTGCGGTGATGTTTACTCAATTTAAGTCGTTTGAATCTTTGTATTACTCTGAACATTAGAACAACAGAGGTGATGGAGCGAATAGTCTCTACCAACCGAGTTAAATACTATTATTCTCTCACATGTTTGGTGCTTACAAGAGAAATTTAAGTTTTACATTGTAATATAAAATAATTATGTTTTATCTAAGCAATAAATTATATTGCAGAGAATATGACGAGGAAATGTTCTAAAATTTGTAATTTTTAATTCTGTATCAATTTCGTATTTATTATATATATTCGGTAAAAAATAAAAAATAAATGATTTTGAAAAATTCTGCATAAATACATAACTTGTTCGATAAATGTTATCGAGACCACTTATAGCTAAAATATAGAATTCAATCCGATGTCTTATTTTTATCATTGATTAATAATCAGTGATGTGCATAAATACCAAAATAAATGTTAGCAATAAATTATCTTATCCGTGCATTCTACACTATCAAGGCTATAGATGTTTTTTTCGTACTCTGTTGACGGAGATAAATTTTGGATGACAACTCATGAAATAGCAGAAAAGTTTGGAATTTAGGAGGGAAGAAAGTAATGTCATAATCAAAAATACAAATTCCTGCACTTGATCTACATAACAAACAGATAAAGATAAACAAAAGTTCAAACTGCTTTTATTGCTTGGAAGAAATATTTAAATTCATCACGTCGAAACTATATGAGGTTTTTTAGATACAAAAACTCATTTAGAACACGACTTATAAAATAAAGTATAAATATTGTACTATTGAACAACGAATTAAAATTAACAGTTTTATTATATTCGTCCAATTTAAAACTTATAAATGATTTGTAAAATATAAATAAACTGAAATTGTGTTATTTTAGTTATGTATCTAATGCAACATTTAAAATATGTACGCGTGGAAGGATTTATATATATATTTATTTATTATACGCAAAAAATATATTTAATAATTAATATTATTACACAAATTTAAATAGGATTGATTAAGCACTCTTTTCAATCGGATCTTATTTTTACTCAGCGGCGTATTTATGAGATCCGTATCTCAATGCAAATAAATTCATAGTAACAGTGGTCAGTTGAGAGATGAATCTTCTACTACTCTACTTTTTAAAAGCTATCTGAATTCCTCAGTCAAAATTTCTAAATAGGCCACTGTTTTTACTAGAGTTTAAATGATTATAGAAATTTAATTACTAAAAATTAATTGTTTTTAAAAGTTTGATCTTGTAGATAAATAATGAATACAATTCACATTTAGATATTTTATTATTTCAATTTGCCAGGTTAAAAATCAATACCTAAATTACCTGGGTATTTTTTTTAAATTAAAAAAGGTTTGAAAGCCCAGTATGTAACGACATCTGCTTTTATATTACATATACAAAGCTATATTTTTAAATAAGATTTCGACTGCAGATTGTATTTAGAGTGGCATAATACACCTTTAGTCGAGTCACTTTATACATTTTTCAATAAGTCCAAATTGTTATTTTAAATCCTACTTTTTTATGCAGTAAGGATGTAAAATCCTGATTTACTTTTTTACTTGTTGTAGATTGATTTTCATGCGCGACGTAATTTTAATGAGATATATTTTTATATTATCCTTTTTCAATGATGTATTTTTAATGAGTATTATCTCCTTGAATATCTTGAGTTGCTTTAAGATTTATAAAACTTTTAATATGAAAGGTTAGAATGATATCAGACTACTGTAAAACTTAATAAATTAACATTTCAAAGTTTTTCTTTATACTATTGTTCAGGTAAAACGCAAATATAAAAATAACTTAGTTTACTTATAACAGTTGAGTTGGGTTTTCTTATACAGGTGTATAAGTTATCTTTAAAAATAAAAGGAATGCAATTCGATTTTTCTTTAGTATCACCTGTTTCATTATAAAAATGGGTATTCTATACTATGTTAACGTGCAATATGTCACGCTTATTATTTTATGACCAATATTCCAAAAAAACATTGATTATGAAATACCTTTTGATATGTCCTTCATTGTCTGGATTAATTTTTACTAATCTTAATGAATAAACAATAAAAAGAATTTGGAAGTACGGAAATGGAGAGAGTTAGTACATCGATACAAGTGAAATGATTTTTTAATGGTGTTAAAAACTTTGAGAAAGTAATAGAAGCGGAACGAAAAAAAAGAAGGTGACGATTTTAGTGGATAAAAACAAGAACGTCAAAATGATTTAGAAATGTAATTATATTAGTCGATTAATAATCGGTACAATCATACTGAAAGACAACAAAAAGGATTACACTATTAATTATTACCTTTGAAATTACACTGGAGAAATACATTTATAATTTATAATTATAAAAAAAGTTTCTGGATTGTGTTAAGATATCAAATAGGAACAACCAATTTAATATAAAACGTTTTTACTAAAATGGTTGGGTTGGGTTTTAGTCTATAAAGTAAATAAAAAAGATATCAACATATCATTCTTTGTCTTAATAATAATTAAATTATTTACAGAATTCCAAACTTTACGAAAATAAATATTTTGTGGGTATTATGAATTACTGAGAATTGTTTAAAAAAAGTAGTGGAAATAATACTAAAAGATTTTTTATGCAAAAACTGATTTGTAAGGAGATGTACTTAAGAAAATCTGGTATTTTCAATATAGATTATTGTTGACTTTTAATGTGATTACATAAAATAATAAAAGTAAAAAATAATTCATAAAATTGTGATAGAAATATAAGAATAATAAAAAAAGAATTTGTGTCTTATATTTTTATTCATTTTTTTGAAAATGTTACATAAACTTTTATTTATAAATGGAAATTATGATAATATTAACAATAACCTTTTTTATTTGATGGCACTGCAATGTGTTAAAAAAAGTAGAGTAACATAGAAAAATATGATAAATAAGTTGTTCTCAGTGAACGGAAATTAAAATCGTTCATACTGTATAATAAATTTTAATTTTAATAGAGAATTGGACTGCTATTACGCCGAAAAACATATATACAGTACCTATTTATTTATATTTTCTGAAAAGTAATGCTGAGAGTATTTTATCATAAAAACTATAAGAGAACACCTATGAACAAAATAATATTTTGTGCATGTTACAGGTTTAAGATAGGTAATATTTTTTAGGTAAAAATTATAGATTCACAAATTAGTGATATAAGAGTTAAATTATAATTGAAATATTCATTTTATTACATCCAATCAGCTTTATAAGAATCACAATTTTATTTTTAGAACAACCTTAACTTCAGTGTCTAAGTGAGATCTCGAGTGGATTCCACTAAAATTACACTTAGATAGAATTTGATGTAGACTTTTTAAGAAAAGTATTGTAATGCAAAGAAATTTTTTTTTTATCTATGTCTACAAAAATATTATGTTTACATTTGTGAAAAGAGAATAAGCTCTGATTTAAAACAAAAATACCAAGATTTTCACTTTCGTTTGCTTAACCAATTTGATATAGGGTATATTTGTTATTTTAAACTATTATAATTATTATATTCATTATAAATATACTATAACTTTTTAACCACTTCGTATGTTAAGTTACTTTCATACGTAAGAGTCAATAATATAAATCAGTAAGTATAACACATAAAATATAAGACTATATCACAAATGTAGCACGGTAGGATTAATATAATTTTTCAAGTTGAATTTTCTGAAGTTTAACAAAATGAATAAATAAATAACGATATGTCTTTTTTCTTGTGAACGGTTTCAGTTCAGAGTTGAGGGTTTAAAAGATCATAAAACGTTTACTAATAAGAGAACTTTGCATACTCAAAATCTTTCAAACTTATAGTTATAAAACTCTGATGATACGATTCTAAGTAATATGATTTAAAAGATATAAGCGAACTCAGCGAAGATACAATATTTTTTCATTCCAAAAGATATTCATAGTATTGTGATGGGTAAAAATTTGATTAAAGTCATTCTACATAGGATATAGAATAGATGTAAATATAGTAAAAAAAATTAATATTATACATGTTTCATACTGATATTTTCTTACTATCGAAAAGTATCAAAATATCTCGTTATTATTGGCGTTAGTCATGGACTAATATTATATTATTGTATTTAAATCATGTTTCGGAATCGAACCTGTACCTATAAACTGAGGAGGCATGATGTGATACCGACTGAGTTAGGCAGACCGCATACCTAAAGTTTTATAAATTTACTAAAATATTGAATACGTCACTTATGTGGTTCTGTAAAGTTAAACAGAATTCCTACGTTTAGTTGTTCCAATTTTCTGGTGTGACAATGATTTCAAATTTTTTTATGGCATGTTATTAACTCATTTTAAATGGTATAACAATGAAATTTCAATTTTTCAATTATGCACGTGACGTGATTTCAAATCTTTGGTGTAAGCCAATTAAATAGAAGTCTTATTAAATACCATAACTGCTGAGTTTTATTATATTCAATTAAATGATATAATATTGTACCATAAGTCATTATACTATTTAACAGAATTTGATTTACATTTCAAAATATTTTTCTTATCTAAAAGTTGTCCAGAGCGTGAAATTTTAATTGAGATATTTTTTAATAATACAAAAAACTTAACACAAATAAATCGTGACTTTATAGTATGGTAATTTATTTTCAATAAATAGATAAAATTACAATTGTCATGCGTATAGAACATCAATTATTAGAAATTTAATTACAAAACTCATTTCAATTAATTAAATAGAATTTCTAATTGGTCTACAACATAAACATTTGAATATGAATAACCCTATTGAATTTACTCTGATTCAAATCCATTATACGGCTCGTTAGAATTCAATAATTATTATCAATTCCAATATTACAAGAAATAAGCTGCAAAACCTCAAATTATAATTGGATTGCACAATTATGATACCAATATATAAAATATATTAACTTTTATCCCCCTTATCCAGCTTTTCATCTGAATTATTCGTTTCTAATTGAATGTTTTCATTACGTAAAGAACGATTGGTTAATTGTTTTTGTATTTTATGGCTGATTCAATGAAGATCCAATTTTTTTTAGCCTAAAAATGTAAAACCTAAAACTAAATTAAAAAAAAAAATATATATATATATATATATATAAATTTTAAATAAAGAGATAGTTAAAAATTCATTGTATACTTTTTGCACGTTATCAAATATTTATGTATTACAAAATTAGTAATGTTTAATGTACTTAAACTATATTTTTTTAAAGTATTCATTAACATTTAACGTTAATAAATACTTAAATTCATTATACTTAAATATAATAAAAAATCTTAAAATAATTTATAATTTTCTAGACAATCACTCATTATGTCACACGGTTACTATAACAACGGTTTTAACAATATGTATGAGGTGGATCATAGATATGAAGAAATCCCTGATATTGATCCATCAATGGATTTCGAGTCATTGGATGATTCAGCGTTTTACTATAGAGAATCGCCAACAAGAATTCAAAGACCTGTTGACAATCATCAAGTTGATCCAGCAGAAAGATCTCTACTGTTGCGTAATCATATGAACGGATTGATAAACAGATCTAGACGTACTACACCACCTCAACCTAGAATGGCGTCTACTCCAACGGCGGACGCCAACAATAGTAAGAAGACAGCAGCAGTTATTCCTTGTAAAGCCAGACGTCGGTTGGATGTTTACGGTACTAGTTTGCCCGGTACCCCAACCCGTGGAGATGTATTCGCCCCAATGATCGCTCAAACTGTCGTTAAACCTGGACAGCCTACGGTTCGCCGAGCGCGGTCTTCTGCTGCTTTATACAACAAACACAAACGTCAACCCGAATTCTTGTCCGAGTACAATCTTGACACTTGTGTACCGGCAACTGGAGTCCAGTACAACCGCCCGAGAAACACTGCTATTATACAGCCCATTTACAAAGCACCGTCCTCAGTTTTTCAAGTAAGTAAAATAATTAATTATTAAACAATTTTTTATTCAAACTCATTTTTCAATTTATTTATTTAGGTTGAAGAAAAAATGCCCGAATCTCCGAGTAAACCATCATGGTCGCATACGCCTCCCCGAACATCAGTACAAACACTTCCTGTTTGTACGTTGTGGACAGCCGCCATGGTATTAGTCGTATCTGGAACAGCCAGTTGTATGTTTTGCTTCTATCTCATTTCACGACGAGGGCGACTGTATTACTTGAACGCTGGACTTTTAGCGGCTGTTGTATGTCTCATATTGGGATTTCCTGGTTTTCGCTCTCAACAGTGGCGATGGCTACCCAATCGTAACTACGTCACAGGTTACATTTTGGTTGCGTTATTCAGTGTTCTCGAGACATGTACATTATGGCTTATGTGTCAGAGCATTGTACTTGATCCAGCTCTCAACGATATAGGTGCTGGTGTCGTTTGTGGCATATCAGCGTTATCAGTAGGGCTAGCCTTTTTTGGTTTAAGCACATCATATTGTTGTAGATACCCACCCCCCGACAACCGAGTAGCACATGCAGTCGAAGGTTTTGTCGTATGAGATAAAAAATCAAATAATTTAGTCAAGGTGATCGTTCTTGAAAATCACCACTTATTTATTACGTAAGATTGTTATGTATAGTGTATATATTATATTTATATCATTAGAAAGTTACAATTAACTTTTATTAATTTCAATTAAAAATATATGGTTCACAAAATGGCATTGTTTAAGCTTTCAGATAGAATTTAATTGTAAGTAATTAGATGTACATATTGTAAGTCAGGTAGAATTTATTAAATTTTTTATGATTCATTTCAAGCAATAATGATATTACATTAATAACTTTGTATTGAGCATACTTTGTTATGGTTTTGGGATATTATAAAGATTACACCAGGGATATTTTAAAGATTTAAATGTTTACCCGCGAGCAAAAATATGAATCAGGCTATTTGTGTAAAGTAATGATGGTGCGTTTAGGATAAAACTGAGCACAAAGGTATTAAGTTGCAATCATGCAAAACGGTTTTGACACGAGGTAAGCGCTCAAAACATCAAAACCCAACCAGAAATATACTTGGGAACAATCAAATACACAAAATACATAATAGCTTTTGGTATAGACGCGTTTGAGGATAATTTATTTTTACGTTAAGAGTTTTTTCTTTGGGATAGCAAACCAATGGTATATATTATTTACACAGAAAAATCGTATGTCATATTCAAATTATAAAGTTTATGTTAAAAGGATATCGAGTAAATTGAAGAAAAATACGTAAAATACGATTTGATCGTATTTTGGGGTTTAATATTGAAATTTTATACTTTTTTTTTTCTCAAACTATTAAGATTAAATGATATACCATAAAAACACGTTTTTGAGGTATAATATAATTTATAAAGTCTTTTAGCTACATCAAAAAAGTATTTGTAAAAATAATTTAATTTAAAGTGCGTTTTACTTTAAAGTCGAAAACAATTTTAAATGATTCTTCATAAATGAAAACAGACGTGTAATTAAAATATTGTATTAAAAAGTTTATGATTTATTTTTCTCGTAAAAACAATATAAAGGTGAGACAAAACTTACAAAGAGTCAGAATAAAATTACTAATTTAATTATATTGTACGTTAGTCTTTTTATTATCATTGGAAATCGTTATATTTAAAAAACTGATGCGATGAGACATTTATGTAAAGTTATTTTATTGCAAGTAATAAAAACATAACTGTTTTAATGTGTTATAATAATTTAACATTGTATTATTATAATTTAATTTAACTCAAGTTAAAAGTGAATTTTTTGAAACTATGCTATAATGTTCTAAACTAAAAAATAAAAACATATTATATTTCAGCTATTGTACTCAAACATATTATACTGTACCGAAACACATTGTAAAAATTTCACTCATATTAAAAGTTGAATTAAGTCAAATTTTATGTAAAGTACTTAATACTTTTATTTTGTTTTTTATATTTGTTATAAAATTAAGAATTTTTTATATATTTTTACGTAACTATTTCATAAACGTTTTATTTATTTAAAGGTGCATAAAAATGCATTGAGAAAAATGTATTTAAAATGATAAAAATGAGCATTAAATTATACAATTATTAATAATAATTTATTTTTATTACATTCTCCTGGATTAATATATTTTTTCAATGGAAACGACTAAATAGAAAGGAATTGGATGTGTTAAATTTATTTAATTTAGATTTTTTGTTGGAAAAGAAATATTTATTTTTTTGTTTACTCATTATTTCAATGTTTATTTAATAATAAAAGTTAAAACTATATTAATAAAATAAATGACGCTTTCTATTATCTATTTCTGTCCTTAGTTAACAATAAAACAATTAGAGTCTCAGGGTATCGATTTTGTTTATTTATTGAAAATCTTATAATGACTTTGGCGAACATTACAGTATTTTCCAAAAAACGTTTATTTTTATATAAATTAATGCATATTTAATATATAATAAAATATTTTATATAATATATATATATATATATATATGTTTTTTTTCATATTTAAAAAAAATTAATTTGGGTAAATATTGTAACGTGCACCACAATCTTTGGAAGGTCTTCAATTATAATTCAATGAAATTTTTGTATTACTTAATATATGAAAACTATTGTGACATAATTGAATTTTACACGATAGTGCAGTTAGATAACTATTTTGACAGAAGGGGTGTCATTTATAAATACAGTGATGAGAAAAAATAAATTCTCAATTATCTGAATTTGCCTACTTCACTTTTAATTTGGAGGTCAATGAAATCGTATGGCCTCCTTCATATAGAACTGTATCTGAATACAGTTTAGTAGTTAAATTATTTAAGCAGGTCTTCAGAACTATAATTGTTTGTCATCGAAACATTTTTGGTTCATTTAAACGATTTGTTATATTTATATAATCAGTTACGTAAACAAAGCATATTGAACACTTACCGACATTTCGATATTAGGATGATCGATGAAAACCATTTCCGATTCTTCCCCATCCAATAGTATTGAAACAGTCTTTTCGCCAAACTCGTCATCTGTAAATTTTAAATAGGATATTCAAAAAATGTTTTTTTACAATGTTTATTTATTTATTTATAGATAAAACTGATTAAAACCATACAGATGTTATATAAATAAAGAGAAATATATATTGTATCTTATGTATATGCTATTGTGATATAGTGAAGTATTTGGTAAGTGTTAATTCAGTTAAAACTGTTCATTTAACAATATTTATTCATACTAAGTTGAGTGATTAAGTGCAGTATCTTTAAGTACAGCTATTTTTACAAGTACCTAGTACAGAGTTAAATGTACAAATATCTAGTACAGATAAATGAAAGATATAATTTGCTGTATGCGTCTTTTATAATTTTATAACAGTTTTATCATTAATTTTTCATGTTGAATTTAAGAAATTGGAAAAGTGAATTTAGAGTGTAGTTTATATAGTTTTATAAAAATATATATTTATATTAATGAAGTTTTAGTAATTATATCCTCAAATAATCGAGTAGTTCATTTTTTTCAATGTGTATGAAATATACATTAAGACATTACAGCCTTGATTTAAAGACGGAAAAATATTGTTGACCATCATTTTTTATATATATTAGACAAATACGTAAAATAATTAATTATATATTAACAGATCTGGTATCAAATATCAACGTGAGAAAACAACCAAATGTTAAATGGGAAAAAAAATTATTCTCACTTATTAACAAAGACATATTGAGTAACTTAATTTTACTTTATACAACTAATTTAAAGAAGTATAGCAAAAATAAAGTAATTGACAAATTTTCATGTAAAACTTTAAGAGATTATAATTTTAGGAAGTGTATTTCTAAAAACTTAATTGTTTATTTCTAATACATTAAAGTTTTATAAAATGTAGACAAAGATGTGTTACTTCAATTAGCACAATACTAAACATTTTCTAGAATGAATCCTATTTATTACAATTAAATATTAAATACAATTTTGTATGTGAATTTTAAATCAAGGTATAAATACTTCTTTCATTTTAACAATTCTGCTATGCAATATATATATTTAAAGTCAGCGAAATATCATTTATAGTATTTAATCTAATGTCATTAATCAACTTCAACTTATGTGTTGGGTTATTCTTGGCACATTTAAAAATGTGACAATGTTAAAACATTGTAGAAAAATAAAAATGTTTTTACTAAATTATAAAATAAAATTTGAAGTAACATATTCAGTATGATATACACTTATTTGTAGTGAAAAGGGGTTAACTTTTATAAAACCAAAAGCATTCTTTTGTTTTGTAAAATGTCATTGTAATCGTTTTTCAAACTACGGAAATACTCGACAATAAAAATGTAAAAAAGAAAATCACAAACGCAAAAGATTTTCAGGAAAAGCTTATATCAAGTAACTTAGGTAAAAGCTAGTGATTGTGAATCGTTCATTGTACATTGTAGTGATTGGGAATTATCTATCACTTGAATGTTTTCCAGTTGGTCTGTAGTGAAATCAAGTTATAAACTACTAATAAGCTTATTAAAAATTTATAAAATAACATGATTTACTATGTTGAAAGTTATTTATATCAATTATTATTATTTTTTAATTATATTCTTATGATATATTTAAAAAAAAATAAGCATAGTACAAAGAAGAGTGAAAATATCAAACATTCTATGCTCAAAAAGCATAAGAATAATGTAAAGAAAAATAAATTCCAAAAGACGATTAAAAAAAACAGTGTTTTTATGGAAAAATAATTATTTTCCATATAAAATACACGAGGTAATCAGATTTTTGCAATTAAAATATAAAGAGAGTTGAACCTATAAACACATGGAAGAAGTATCATGAATAATATACTTTTTTGTTAAGTACTTATCACATTTGAATTCTTCAAGTAATTAGCACGCGAATAGTTTTTGGCACACTTTTAAATATTTAAAGTTAAATAATTTATTGTCATAAAAAATGTCGTTTTTGTTTTAAAAGTAATTTTTTTCATTAATTAGACAGGCTATCTGTTTATATTTTTGCCAAATTTTAAATTTTCTCTGAAGTGTAAAATTATACTATTAAATAAAAAAAAGTGTCATTAATAAAAAGGGTGTCAATAACTGTACTAAAAAAATTATTTAATAAATAAACAAATTCTGATAGCGCAATTCAAAATTTTTTTAACAATTTTTTTATAAACAATGACACACGTCTTGTGTCACCTACTGGCTTCTTTAGCCATAACGACGTTGCGTCTAGTCGACAGCCGGTGTAAAAAACCTGTCGTAAGGTAGAACCGACTCTAAATAGTTGCGATAAGGTTAAGTAGATAATAATAACATTTAAAATTTATTTTATGCTGGAAAAAAATTGATATTAGGTAACAGATTAATATATTGATTAAGGCCTAGATGTTTTCCTTAAGATACCAATTACTGTACACTTGAATATACGTTTTACGATGTTTTGAATTTTATGATTTCCTTTATGTTTAACAGTAGAACATTGCTTAATTAAAACATTTAACAACAACCAATGAGTACGATAAAACTAAAAACAAACGTTATACTTAGTATACGGGAAATTACATTTTTGCTATTGTTTTATATCTGAAGGGAAAGATAAACCAACCGTATTTGACATGATAAAACTGTGCTACATCATAATTAAAACAGTGACGACGTCATCCTAAATCTTGAATGATGTTTCTAAACATATATCCAATTACTTTGCATGTGTGTCACATAAACGTTCTGACATTAACTAAAGCATTTAATACTGGTCAACGTTAATCACGTTTCTTAATAAAATTACAGAAAAGTGTTAAAACTAGTTTTAAGGTAGGTAATCGATTTGGCTCGGTACGTTAACATTTCTTTTTTCTTTGCCCTGTGCTGTAGTTGGCATTGATAAATCAACATCTTGGTTTTTGTTTTGCTTAAAGGATAAGTTACGAACACTATTACAAAAACCGAATTCGTCTTGAAGTTCAATAAATCTAGTATACATTTAGTAAATTAACTTACTCGTAAATTAACAGGTCACGACGCATTTTATGCCAGTAAATCAAAAATGTATAAACTAACTAGATTGTTAAAGTAGTTATTGGCTAAAAATTAATTACAAATTTTTAATATTTTAATTCTTTTAATTTTCTATTTAAAGATATGTAGAAAATAAATTAAACATCATAACATATTTGTAACAATATTACACTACTAATAATTGTACAATGTAATGTAAAAATAATAAATTAAATATTTTAAAATAATAATCTCCAAAAAATCACTAAATTTGAATAATTTAGCATGGATGCAAAGATGAGAAGGTATTAATTTTATTATGTGTTTTTATTGTGTCTGTTACCACTTTTTCTCAGCTCTCACCGAACCGATTTCTTTCAACACTACATCCAAAGATCACAAATCGTATCTAGTCGATAACATTACCCTAAAAAATTGAAAAACTTTCCCTCGTTCCTTGTATATGGGAGAAATCTCTAAAAAAATTACAAATTTAAAAATCGCTAATTTTCGACATTTTTTTAATTTTTTTTACTTAAAAGTGCTATAACTTTTTTAAAAATAACCAAATCAATATAACTCTTTTTATAGATACGTGAGGTATTTACTTATCATTTTGTATATTTTTTTTACAAATCTGACCCTTTACCTGCCCACAGGAGTAGATTCAAAATGACAACTTTTTCACAAAAAATTAACTTTTTCAACATAATTTATTAAAGTGTTCCGGAAATACTGACACTTTTATATATATCTTAAATTAAAGCTTATGTAATATACTTCAGTAAAGAAAATAAAAATTTCGAACTTAATTTTGTCTTCACAGTGAAAAGTTCAACCGTATTTTTGTGTTAAAATTTTCGATTTTATATTTTATTTTAAAATACCTTACAAAAGTTTTTGAGTTAGAAAACAATTTTTAAATCATTTGATATTTATCTCATTAAAATCCAATTACTTTAATAAATATCACGGACCCCATCACTGTAACCCCCTTCGTTTGAAGAAATTTCTTATTCATATTAAAGTTTTTTTACTATATGATTTTTTAGTTTTGGCTCTTATTTGATCAACTTTTTTTAAATATACATCAAATGATCACAACCAATACACTCAATTGAGAACATTTTGATTTGGTTTTTTTAGTTAAAGTAAATCGTTAAAATTAATTATCTTCTGATTATTTTAATTGTAGACTATTTTTAATCATCAAAAATGCAAAAAAAATATTGAAGTTTTCTAATAAATTTACAGTAAATAGTAATTATACAATTTCCTTCTGCATATCAATCATAACAATATTACTTTTTAACTCATAAAATTTTCTATTTAATAATGTAAATTTCAAACTTGAAGTAAACTCAAAGTTATGGTAACAAATTCAACTTTTTTTATTATAAACTTTCAAAAAATCAATTTTAAAATACCAAAAAAATAAGTAAAAATTATATTTTGCACTGATTATCTTTAAAATATTAAACATCAAAATCTGTAATAATATAAAAACAATTTTTTATATTTTTAATTATTTTTTGATTGTAATAAATCATTTCAAATGAAATATTAATAATTTCTATGTAATTCTTTGTGTTTAAATAGACGATACAATTGAAATATTCCAAATTATTTTCCTTATAGTTATATTCTATAGCTATTAACTAATTAATAATAATAAAAATTAATCAAATGACCAAAAAATTAGCTACGTGGAAATTTTGATAGAAAATAAGAATACGGTGGTTGGATATTTTATTATTTAATAATATTCTATTCTATTGTATCAAAACAATAGAACGACCAATTTTTTAAATTGCCTATTTTTAGGTATGTATATACCAACTGTTTCTTTAACGATAAAAAATATCCTGATATTTAAAAACTAACAAAAATTGTCTTAGAAATGAATATTAATCCTAAAAATATACGGATTAATAAAATAACATTACGTTTTAAATAACAAATTAGAAAAATATTTTCTCCTTAATAAAGAATTAACTTTGATGATTTTTTTTTGCGATATATATATTTATAATGTTGTTTGTAACCTCACAACTAACGTTGTTTATTCACAATAAGTATAAGAGTTTGTGTACCTATCACGGTATATGTACTATAGAACAAAAAATCTTATGGTTAGTAATAATAATAAACAAGTAATTGATCGTATACCTGTAGTAATTTACTTATATAAGAGCGCTATTGAAAATTGAACTTCCTCAATTTCGATAAAAAAATTCAATTTTCTTTTCTATTATGTGACTTAACATTTTTTTTATAAAATATTTACTTTTCATGAAAAATAATAATGTGTAAAAAATAATAAAAGTTTATGTAGGGGGTGAACAAGATTCCCAAAGCTACATTCTCGATAGGCCATTTCCACGACACCCATTTTCTAAAATTAACAACTACCGACAATTTTTATTATTTAATTTTATTAACATAATAAAAACGGGACCAGTAAATTTATGTTATTAAGTCAACTAGTTGTATTTTTGTTTGTATTCTTAGTATTTGCGGATGATAATTCGTATTCGATTTAGTAAATTTATCTATTTCTTTGACGGCGAATCGCGGAACCGTCGCGGTGTAGACGTAATTCCGCTAGACTGACTTCCGTTTTCCCTGTTTCTTTTTTAGCTCCATAAACGCTGATTATAAGTCAGGATGATGTTTAGCGACTATTACTCCAAAAGGGTTGTGCGAACCCTCACCGACATTGTTCGTTTTGTTAGAATTGGTCAACGCAGCCAATTGCTGTATGTTGATTTCAAACGGTGAACGGGTACAGAGACTTGTCGCCTTCATCATCGTACAGGTCAGCCACATACATAGGACGCATTTAAATAGTCGATTATTGTCACCATTTCATCTAATCGTCTGACAACAGGTCGAAAACTCGCGTTACATCAGTCACTGCAGTGGCTGCATTTCCAGTGCACCGGAACGAATGCGAGCGCCGATACCATACGCTAGTTACATTATCAAGTTTCGGCCGTCTGGATCTATACATATTTGCTGTAAATACCCATCCTATACGCTGATTTCCCTTGATGAAAAAACAATACGTTTCTGGAATATTGGGAACTACTTCCAGACAAGCAATCTTGGTTCCAAACTCAAAATAGGACATAATTCGCAAAGAAAATACAATCGTTGAGTCGGTATTCTACCACAGTGTTTTCGACAGTACGCAGAACCGTCGCGCATTCNTCCACAGTGTTTTCGACAGTACGCAGAACCGTCGCGCATTCACTATGCTTTTTTCCCACTAGGAACATGTACACATACGGCAATGGGGTATCTTCCTTACCTATCCGGTTTCGCTGATGTAGGCAGATGATCGTAAATAGCTGGGTGAATATAGTTGGAGTCACTTTGAATGTTTCATCGACAAATCGTACAAGACTTCAGCATAATAACTTAATATTAAGTTATTATCAATATTATCAAAGAGGAAGTTTGGCGAATGTTCTAGACGGACAAAAACAAATGCGG